GCACCCCCGTGTCCTGTCTGCACCCCCGTGTCCTGTCCGCACCCCCGTGTCCTGTCCGCACCCCCGTGTCCTGTCCGCACCCCCGTGTCCTGTCCGCACCCCCGTGTCCTGTCCGCACCCCCTCCACCTGCAGCCCGCATCCCGTGACTGCTCACACTCGCATTCGTAGTGGAAGTGGCAGGGTTGGTCCTGGTCCCACACTTGGACCGGCAGGTACTCGTTCACACAGGTGATGTTGGGTACGGGCTCTGGCTTCAGGAGGATGATCTGGTTGTCGCCCTCACACTTGGCCACCGTGCAGTTGTCCAGGGTCCAGGTCTCGTTCACCTGGGGCAGGGACACACAAGGTGCTGACCTGGGAGCTTGTGGGGGTCCAGCTCCCCCCCCCGCCTGCTGTCTGAGGTCCCTAGGCCCCTGAGCCCCAAAGAGCAGCCAGTTTGTAGTTAGCGGGACACAAATCCCACATGCCGGCCACAGACTGCAGCGAGCAGGGAAGGGGGCTTTGGTGCTGGCTCTGGTGCTGGTCCCAGCTCACACCAAATGGTAGTCCTGGCCAGAGGCCAGGCCCTGTGTCACATCTGAGAGAGGTGAAGGGTTGGAGGGAGACTACCTGTCGAGGAGGGACAGCATTGTCACAGCCAGGAAGGATCGTTTGCGGGAGTGTAGGCTTGGAGGACATGGGTGGTGAGGAGGAGGGGCAGCTGTCCTGGTAGCGGTCAATGCCACAGTGCTGGTTGCAGATGGCATAGAAGTGGCAGCCAGCTCTGTCTGTCTTATTGTAGATGACTTCCCCTGGAAAACAGAGACCCGTAAGAGGACAGTCACACCTCAGCTGTCCATGCATAAGACCAAGGGAAAAGCCAGGGTGGAGGGGAGGCCGTGGGGTAGAGAGATGTTGGCTAGGGACAGAGGGGTGGAGAGTAGCCAGCCGGGAACAGCTTCTATCTCTGAAGGCAGACAGACCCAGCTTGATAGGACACAAGAAGAGGCACACCGTCCCCGCCACTCACCAGGTGAGAGGAGCTGTCCGAATGCACGGCAGAAACAGGGTAGACTGGAAAATGTGGATCTGAGGGTGCTGATGCCCGAGGGAGAGGCAGTAGACACACTGAAACTTGGCAGGCTGTGGGGGGTCACCGTTGGGGGTTGTGTGCTCCCCAGGGTAAAGGAGGGGGTGATGGTGGAGCCAGCAGATGTAGGCAAGGCAGTTCTGGTGGTCAGCCCTGGGGGGACGTGAGTGGACCCTGCTGTGGAGGAGGGGCCTGTGGGTGAGGTGGCTGTGGTGGTCAGCCCTGGGGGGACGTGAGTGGACCCTGCTGTGGAGGAGGTGGCTGTGGTGATCAGATCTGAGGGGACATGAGTGGACCCTGGTGTGGAGGAAGGGCCTGTGTTGGCTCCTGTGGCTGTGGGTGAGGTGGCCGTGGTAGTCAGCCCTGGGGGTATGTGAGTGGACCCTGCTGTGGAGGAGGGGCCTGTGGTAGATCCTGAGGCTCTGGGTGAGGTGGCCGTGGTGGACCCTGGTGTGGAGGAGGGGCCTGTGGGTGAGGTGGCCGTGGTGGTCAGCCCTGGGGGGACATGAGTGGACCCTGGTGTGGAGGAGGGGCC